GGCACATAACAACAACATCAACAATCTGCGTTATGCAGATGACACAACCCTGCTTGCTGAAACTGAGGAGGACCTGAAGCACTTGCTGCTGAAGGTCAAGGACTGCAGCCTTTAATATGGATTGAGGCTCAATGTCAAGAAGACAAAGATTCTCACCACTGGACCAGTTGGCAGCAACAGGGTGGATGGGGAAGAGATTGAGATTGTTCACAGCTTTAGTCTGCTTGGCTCCACCATCAACACTCTTGGCACCAGCAGCCAGGAAATTAAAAGACGTACTGTGGTGGGAAAGTCTGTGGTTAGGGACCTCTCTAAAGTACTGAAGAGCAATGGTGTTTCTCTGGAGACTAAGGTGCGTCTGGTACAGGCCATGGTCTTTGCAATCACTTGTTATGCGTCAGAGAGCTGGACAATGACCAGGACGGGTAGAAGGAGAATTGATGCTTTTGAGCTTTGGTGTTGGAGAAGAGTAAGAAAACAAATTCATCCTGGAGAGGGTTAAACCAGGCTGCTCCTTGGAGGCAAGGATTCTGAGGCTTCGTCTGACATACTTTGGTCATGCTGTAAGGAGAGACTAGTCCTCGGAGAAAGACATCATGCTTCGGAGGGTGGAGGGCAGGCGCAGGAGGGAAAGGCCTTCTGGGAGGTGGTAGATTGATTTGGTGACTGGGGCAATTGGGATGAGTTTGTTGGAGACAATGAGATTGGCACAGGACAGAGCAGAGTTTAGAGCTGTTGTACATAGGGTCGCTATGAGTCGCAAGTGACTCGAAGGCACATAACAACAACAATTAATTTTAATGAAAATTTACAGAGATTTTAGATTTCCATTCATTCATTGTTGCACTTTTCTCCTTTCCTGCTCCTCCCCCTCCTATGCTTTTCTCTTTGAAAAAGAAAATAAAATTTTTTCATTGTTATACAATCCCTCCCCCCAAGTCCACTCCACTGTGCAGCCTTCATATATCCCTTTTAAACAGTTCTCTCCCTCATCTGTTTCAATGCAGTATACATTATTTATCCCCTTTTTTTCAGTCTCCCCCAACCCTGATGTCAGTCCTATTTTACAACAGTGGCACTATGCAGTATTTGTCCTTTTGTGACTGAGATGTTTCACTCAGCATAATGGCTTCCAGGGTCACCCATTTTGTATAATATTTCATAAGTTCCTTGTTTTTCATTGCAATGTAGTATTCCATTGTGTGAATATACTTTTCTATCCATTCGTTTATTGATGGGCACTTGGGTTTCCAACTCTTTGCTATTGTGAACAAAGGCTCAGTAAACATGGGTGTGCATATATCTGCTTGGGTGTCAAAGACAAACCCTTTTAAAGGACAATGGCTTTTTAATTATTTTCTGAATTTCTAATTTTCATCTTATACAATATTTGATGATGCTGATTGTACAACGATTATTAATATTTTCTTTCACGACTCCTGTAGTAACCTGCAAACTTTACTTTCTCATTTTCACAGGTGTTGGGACGATGTTTTTTGACAGTGGTGCAAGTCCATTTCCAGTTTTTGACCCAGGCATTACAGAAGGTGCAGCCCGTGGCCCACTCTTGCTTTACTGAGTTGGTTGTACCAGAAAAAAAGAACAGTGGCAGTGGCTTACCTGGCATGAGCCACACGCCTGAACTGGAGGAAGCGGTGCGATCCTGGCGGGGGGCTTCTGAGGTATAACCCTAGCTTTGGTGTGATTGTGCACTGTGTTTGAATAAGGAGATACTCCAGAGTGTCTTTATGTTTATCTTCAAAACAGCCATTTTATTAGACATTTAGATTTTAAACTTCACAATATTAGCTTGCTTATTCATTCATTCATACCTTTACCCAGTACCCTTTTTGTGTCATATATACCAGACACTGGGTAACTCAGAGCTTGCTGGTTTGTGAAACCCGGGAAGGAGATGTAGTAGTGCCCAGAAGGAGCTGTACCTCTGAATGGAAGTGGTTCAGGAAAGCTTCCAGGAAGAGGCGGCCCCCAAAGCTACAGTTACACTGTAGTTAATGCTCAGGTAATTATGTTACATCTACATTGTCAGTTGTTTCACATGTGATCTGAGCAGTTCTCCAGTATTACTTTATTTAACATTATGAAATCTTTCGTCTTTTGACAGACTTGCTGTTTCCCAGAGCAGCAGATATTTTTATAAACTCTAGCCATCAGTAAATTTCCTGTCTGAAAGATGACTTCACTGATGAGTCGAGATAGCTTTAGTATGGCATGGATTTTGACATGGAGCTCAGAGGTAGAAAGGAGTTTTATCCATGAGGACTGAGTGTACATGTTCATGAAAATTCTTCTCTTCTGCTCACTTTTACTTTCCCACACACTCTGGTACCTATGGAGGTCTGCTGTAATGGTGGGCCACAGGAACTTCCCTGAGCCACCCCCTATAAAATTCCAGCTTGGTCTTAGTTAATTTTTCTAATGTCTTAGTTATTTAGTGCTACTATAACAAAAATACTACAAGTGGCTGGCTTTAATTATGGGCTTAATGTATTTCTTGAAGTTCAGTAGGCTAGAAGTTTGAAATCTGTACACAAACTCTGTTGTTACGTGCCATCAAGTCAGAACCAACTCATAGCTGACCCTTCAGCTGGTTTTCAGAGACCGTAAAATCACACAGTCCCCAACTTTCTGCTGCTGAGCAGCTTGGGGATTGACAGTGAAATCCTTCCTACTAGGGCACAAACTAGGTGAAGGGTATCTTTCATTGTTACTGTTAGAGGAAAGTCCTTTGTTTCTTTTACATTTTTGATCCTGCATGTTTTTCATATGGCTTGACATCTCTCTTCTCCATATCTGTTGTTTCTCATGCTTATTCTTTTTTTATAATAATCACATTTCTTTTTTATTTTTTCTGTTATTATTTTTGTATGTCTGACTGGCACTTATAATTTTTTAAGTCTCAAAAGGGACTGACTTAAGACACATAATAACAAAACAAAAACAATATAACTGGGATTACACTCTGGCTAAGTGTCAAAGACAAGGTTACTATTTGAAAATAGAAGGTAATCACATCACAAAATAGAGGAAGGATCATTAACGTAGTTGCTACGTCATTGAGAATCATAACTAATCTTAACTGTCACAGTCATTGTTCTTCTCCCTGTGTACCTCTTCATCCATTGCATTATTATGCACACAATAGTTGCACAGTAGATTTGTAATTGTGGTTGTAAATGCCAAATATAGAATGAGAAGTTGTTAAATGAGAAGTAGGTGTATAATCACAGGCATAGAGATTGGAATTTACAACTCTTATGATGTAGTGCATGCCAAGTTGAGCTACTAACACAAAGGAAATGGGTTGAATCGACCAGCAACTGCCAGAATTAAAACTCAGTATTATTTGTAAACTATACTCTCATTTATCTCCTGTAAGGATTAAGCTTTTCAATTCAACACTTTAACTAGGACTTATTATTCTTTCTTACAAAGTAAAAGGTCATTTAGTTATAAAGGAATGGTATATTGATTATTTTTATTTATATTTAGTTATAAAGGAATGGTATATAAAGGAGTGGTATGGACTGCTAGGAAAACAAACAGATTTGTCCTGGAAAGGGTTAAACAGGGTGGCTCTTTGGAGGCAAGGATTCTGAGGCTCCGTCTAACATACTTTGGACATGTTGTGAGGAGAGACCGGTCCTTAGAGAGGGACATCATGCTTGGGAGGGTGGAGGGACAGCGCAGGAGAGGAAGGCCCTCTAGGAGGTGGATTGATTCAGTGACTGGGATAATTGGGAAGGGAGTGTCAGAGACAGTGCGATTGGCACAGGACAGAGCAGAGTTTAGGGCTGTTGTACATAGGGTTGCTATGAGTCGCAAGCGACTTGATGGCACATAACAACAACAGCAACATATCATTTGATTTAAAAATTAAATCATCAGATTATTTTATACATTAGAAATTACATTTAATCAGAATTGTTTTTGTTAGTAGAAAAAAAATGCACAAGGACTTTATTATTCCCCATACAGGGCAGGTCTTCTAGAGGTGGCAAGTGGCAGTAGGCAGCTATGGGACAGGGCTGTAAAGGCAAAAGTGGCCCTACTTGTTGGCGTTAAGAGGGTTCCTCAGAACCACGATGACCAAGTATCCGCACAGGAACATCTTACAGATGTAGTGGTCCTTGGTGGTGGGCTTGGACTTCTTGCCCTTGCTGCTCTTTGGGACCTCAGTCCAGATCTCTTTCATGTTCTCCAGCATCAGGTTGCAGTGACTGTCAAGGCCTTCACGAGGTTCAGGAGCTTCTTGTTGCCACAGTTGATGAGCACTTGTGTGCTGTTGGGCCCATGTTAAACTCTTCTCGCTTCTGCAGCTCCTCCGGGGTCATCTGACTCTTAGCCTTGTTGAGGAGGCTCTTGGGGCTGGCTACATTCTCAGATCACTCTCATTTCCTCCATGTTACTTCTTTCTCATTAATTCCTCAGAACATGACTTTTTCACACTGTATACTCTTAACTTCCTTTTTTGTCCACACTTCAGTTCACAGTATTTTTGTGTGTTCTTTCTGATTTGGCCTCCTTTTCATGTTGGAGGCTTTCCTTGAGTTTTCTTGGTGTTTATGGGACAGGTACTGAAATATTTAAATGGAGGTTGTTTATTAAAAGAGAAACCCTTATTATTGCTGTCTAACTTTACAACCTACTGTGCCATCCTATTGCCTCGTGACCATTCGTAAAACCTTGATACCCAACTCAGTCTTTCCATGCCACTTACTGTCATTCATCCACACTCTCAGTTCATGTTTGGCCTCTTAACGATCTGTTGACCTTCTTCCACCCATTTCAGCCTATCTAAATCCTCTTTACACTCCTTTGTGCCATAGTGACCCTGCTCTTCACCATACAAAGAAGATACATTCACCTAACAATAGCCCCCATTCTCTGCATCACCAAATGATAGACTTTCCAGAGTCATCTTTTCTTCCTTCTGTCTCACCCCTTCCTTGTCCCACTGAAAGGGCCCAGTTCCGGTGGTGAGACCCTGTGTCTTCTCTCACATATCCACAGCTTAGTCCCATCATTCAAGAAAACCCTACAAAACAGTTTTACTGTGTAACATGAGGTTACCATGAGTCAGGGGGTAGGCTTGATGGCAGCTAACAACATCTGTGGATCAGAATCCAGACAGAGTTTAGATGAGTCTTACTTTCAAGGTGCCACTTGTTCTCACTTGCTACTGTGTTCTCATCTGGAAATCAGGATTCTCTTCAAGCTTACTGATTGTTAGTAAAACTCATTTTCTTGGAAAGCAGACCCATAAAGCATGTATCGAGGGAGGGAAGAGCTGTGTGGTTTTTCTTAACTTTATAGCATAACATCCAAGAGGTGATTACAGAAGCAAAATGTGGGAGGAACTGAAAATGTCCCTGAAAATAATATATGCCCTTTCCAAGACATATTAGTTTGGTTTTTTGGAAGTCCATGGAATGTTTAGCACTTTTCTCACCACAGCTGAAAGGCATCAATTCTTCTGTCAGCCTTATTCGTTGTCCAGTTCTCAGATGTATAACAAATGATCAGAAAGACTATGGCCTGAATCAGACACACCTTAGTCCTCAAACCAACATCATTACTTCTCAGTAATTTGGAGAGGTCCCTAACTGCAGACTTTCCCAGTGCAGTTCATCTTCTGATTTTCTCTGCTGGTCCCAAGGGTGTTAATTGTGGATCCAAGTAAAATGAAGTTGTTGACCATTTCAGTCTTTTCTCCATCTATCGTGATGTTGCCTGTTGGTCCTGTGGTAAGAATATTTGTTAATAATTCATATTAGAGACAGTATTCTTTGATCTTCTGCAACAAGTGCTTCATCAGCAAGTAAGGTTATTGATGTACCTCCCTCCAATCTTGATGCCACGTTCCTTCTTGATGCCACATTCCTCTTCATAGAAGTCCAGCTTCTCCAATAATTTGTTCAAGCTACAGATTGAAAAGGTGTATAGAGAGAATACAGCCCAGATACACTCCCTTCTTAATTTTAAACCATGCTGTGCTCCCCTGGTCTGTTTGCATAACAGCCTCCTGGTTCAGGTATAGGTTCCACGTGAGCACAATTAAGTGCTCTAGGACTCCCATTCTTCTCAACGTCAGCCATAATTTGCTATGGTCCAGTCAGTCAAATGCCTTTGCATAGTCAATAAAGCACAAATAGATATTATTCTCATATTCTTTACTTTCAGCCAGGATCCATCTGATGTCAGTAGTGATATCCCTGGTGCCACAGCCTCTTCTAAATCCTGCTTGAACATCTGCCAGTTCCCTATCTATGTTCTGTTCTAGCCATTTTAAAATGATCTTCAGTATTATTTTGCTTGCATGTAAAATTAATGATATTGTTCGATAATTTCCACACACTATTGGTTGGATCACCTTTCTTGAGAATGGTAACAAATACAGACCTCTCCAATCCATTGGCTGGACAGCTATTCTCCAAATTTCCTAGCATAGACTATTTCATACAGGGCTGCATCTATTAATTTAAACAAGTCAGTTGGTATCCCATCAGTTCCTGATTCTTTGTCAGTGCCTTCAGTGAAGCTTCCACGTCCTCCTTCATTACCATTGGTTCCTGTTCATATGGTACTTTCTGAAATTTTTCAGTCAGTTCTTTTTAGTACAATGATTCTGTGTATTCCCTTCATCTTTTGATGCTTTCTG